GCAGCAGGTGCGCACAGGCGACTCCACAGCCGGTTTGTGAGCACGGCGAGGACAGCGTGCGGTAATCTCGCGGCCTTCTGTTGTGCTTGGATTCCAGATTGCGGAGAAGACCGAGATCCAGATAGCAGAGTCTAGAGAGGGCTACAGATCCATTGCTAAGCACTCCTCCATCTTGTTCTTCAGCATTGCTGATCTGACCAACATAGACCCCATGTACCAGTACTCCCTCAGCTGGTTTGTCAACCTCTACGTTAACTCCATACACGACAGGTGAGTGACGCACAATCGCACGTTCAACAAAAAGTCAGAATAATGCAGCAACTGACTTGAAAGGTCAGAGGTCAATGTTTCAGCAGCAACATTGATGTGAACAGCGTCTGCCTCCTTACAGATGACATGTAACGTGGCAGTCTCTATTAATACTTAATAAAGTGCGATATAGGGTCAAAGAAGCAACAAGGTGATTGATTTGATTGGTAGACCTTCATTTTTTTCACCTCTTAGTACAAGTGTGTGAATTGTGGACATTATGAATCATGGATACATGTGGGGATACATTGGGTACATGTCTTTGACTAAAGTGTGACAAACCCTTAGCGAGGCTGAAATAACTTCTAGGACTTGGTCCGTTCGTCTGAAGCTCCCTGTGTTTTCTCCTTGGATCTACAGCAACAAGTCGAAGATCCTGGAGAGGAGGCTTCGATACCTCATCGATCACTTCACTTATAACCTGTACTGTAACGTGTGCCGCTCCCTGTTTGAGAGGGACAAACTCCTCTTTTCCTTCCTCCTCTGCTGCAACCTGCTCCTGTAAGTGTTAAAACCAGAGGGCATGAAATACAGTATTAGAATTTGATTTCAGCTTCTAACCGCATGCTCAAATGGAACATGTACTGTGTGAGTAGTTGCTGTTCTTGTCTGTGTCCTCTCAGCGCCAAAGGGGAGATTGAGTACTCTGACTTCATGTTCTTCCTGACCGGAGGAGTGGGACTGCAGAACACCGTTGCTAACCCCGACCCCGGCTGGCTTCAGGACAAGAGCTGGGACGAGACCTGCAGAGCCAGCGAGCTGTCTGGCCTAAAAGGATTAAAGTAAAAAGTCCCCCACTTAACGCAAAATGATTATTTTATGACTTTATATCTGCTAGTTCCCTGTCCTGTTGTCATGAATTCCTTTTGCCTAATAGAGTGAATCTATGTATTATTTATTCCACAGAGAGGCTTTCATCAAAAGCCCAGAAGGCTTTAAATCTATTTATGACAGCAAAGAACCATGCAACACTCGCCTGCCGGCCCCGTGGCGTGAACAGCTCAACGACCTGCAGAAGATGATCATTGTTCGCTGTCTCAGGCCCGACAAGATCGTTCCAGCTGTCACTAAATTTGTGACGGGCAAACTGGGGAAGAAATTTGTCCAGCCTCCCCCCTTTGACCTGAGCAAGAGCTACCTGGACTCCAACTCCACCGTCCCCCTCGTGTTTGTGCTGTCTCCAGGAGCTGATCCCATGGCCAGTGAGTCCCTCCAGTTCCAATGATTAGCTGTGACGCCTCCAGGTGACGCTTCCTCTGAGAAGCATTAGAAAATAGAAACGTGCACTCAGCTAGATGCACATCTCTGGAAACTGTGTTTGCAATTCCCACTTCTGTACTGTCCGATTGAATGAATATGCAACACATTGTGCGGTTTGCTGCAGCAGATTGTGAAATTAGCCGTGGACAGACACAGAGGTGAACACTCACTCACTCATTGACTCCACAGGCTTACTGAAGTTCGCCAGTGACAAGAACATGGGCGGGGCCAAGTTCCAGTCCATCTCTCTGGGACAGGGACAGGGACCCATCGCTGCCAAAATGATATCCACCGCCATGCAGGAGGGGACCTGGGTGTGTTTGCAGAATTGTCATCTGGCCGTTTCCTGGATGTCCAACTTGGAAAAAACCTGCGAGGACTTCAGTCCGGCAACATGCCACCCGGACTTCCGCCTTTGGCTCACAAGCTACCCTTCACCAAAGGTTAAAGGTCAATGCATACGAGTCACCAGTCCGGGTCAGATTCATTGTGATTGTAGTCGCGAAGAAACATCCTTTCTCATCAGTTTCCAGTGACCATTCTGCAGAACGGGGTGAAGATGACAAACGAGCCGCCGACAGGACTCCGGCTCAACCTGCTGCAGTCTTACCTGTCAGATCCTGTTTCCGACCCAAACTTCTTCAATAGCTGCCCCGATAGGGAGCTGGTGAGAAGGAGAGGTCTCTTTATGTATTTGATCGGTCGGTGTATGCGAAGGAAACCCTCTGACTCTTGGGTTTCTCCTCTAGATGTGGGAGAAGCTCCTGTATGGACTGTGTTTCTTCCATGCTCTTGTTCAGGAGAGGAAGAAGTTTGGTCCACTGGGCTGGAACATCCCGTATGGCTTCAATGAGTCTGATCTGCGTATAAGCATCAGACAGCTGCAGGTATTCATTCAGAGCTTCAGTGGCCACGACTCCATGAGAAAAAATCCTAAAGGGTGATTTGTCTTTTTTTAGCTGTTTGTGACCGAATACAATGAGGTGCCCTTCGAGGCCATAACTTACCTGACAGGTGAGTGTAACTATGGCGGCCGCGTGACGGACGACTGGGACAGGCGGCTCCTGATGACCATCTTGGCCGACTTCTACAACCAGGACATCATCGAGAAACCTCGTTTCCCTTTCTCACCGAGCGGCGAGTACTTTGCCCCGCCGAAATCCACCTACGACGACTACGTTGTATTCATCAAGGTGAAGCCGGTGGAGATGTTCAAATGTGCACAGACCTTCTAGTCACTTCCGACTGATTGTCGTCCCCTGTGTCGTGTTCCAGGAGCTTCCGTTGAGCCAACATCCAGAGGTGTTCGGTATGCATGAAAATGTGGACATTTCCAAAGATCTGCAGCAGACAAAGCTGCTGTTGGATTCGCTGCTGCTCACCCAGGGAGGAGGGGCCAAAGGGGGGGCTAGCTCTGGGAGTGACAGAGCGCTGTTCGACATTGCGAATGACATCCTCGATGAGGCACGAACTGATTAAACCTCCACCATGCCGATCGTAATCTACACGCACTCGGACGTATAGTCTTAACTTAACAAACGGGCTTTCTTCCCCCATCCAGCTTCCGGCTAACTTCGACACGGAAGCAGCCCTGTTGAAGTTCCCAGTGCTCTACGAGGAGAGCATGAACACTGTGCTCGTCCAAGAGATGGAGCGCTACAACACGTACGGACCAGAAGGACACACAATGCATCATCGCCTGTACGAGCTAATCCCTCTCTCCCTCCCTCAGGCTGTGCAGCACGATCCGCGTGAGCCTGCAGAATCTGTTGAAGGCCATCAAGGGTTTGGTGGTGATGGACGCGGAGCTGGAGGCCATCGCAGGCGCGTTGATAGTGGGGAAGGTTCCAGAGAAATGGGCCAGGTGCTCCTACCCGAGCCTCAAGCCTCTGGGCAGCTACGTTACGGACATCCTCTCAAGGCTCAAGTTTCTGCAGGTGAGAGTGACTGAGAAGTGAATCATTTAGAAGCAAAGTATCACATGGGGGCTTTGTTGACTTTTCATTCGTGCGCCCCGTAGGATTGGTGCGACACCAGTAAGCCCAGCGTGTTCTGGCTGTCCGGCTTCTTCTTCACCCAGGCCTTCCTAACTGGGGCGATGCAGAACTACGCCAGGAAGTACCACGTCCCCATTGACCTGCTGGGCTTCAACTTTCAGGTCCAGAGATGCACATTTTGTAATCCGTCTCCGGGCTGAAATACCTTCTCATGTGCCTAGAAGCAAACTGTTGTGTGGTTCTGTTGTGCTCGGTTTCATCGTTGCAGGTTCTTCCCTTCGAGGCGTCGGACACACCGCCTGAGGACGGTGTTTACGTGAACGGATTGTTTCTGGATGGAGCTCGATGGGACAAAGGAAGGTAGGTGTTCGCATGGGGGTTATTATCTGTAAAATCAGTCATATGACGGGATGGTGAAGTGTAAGAGCACGTAACCATTGTTGGTCTCCTTATCAGTGGAGTTCTGGCTGAGCAGCACCCCAAAGTCCTGTTTGACGTGGTGCCGATCGTCTGGATTAAACCCAGTAAGTAAACGATCAGATGCGTCTATTCTGTGAGTTTTTGCATCCTATGAACAGAAATGGCAATATTTGAAATGAGTGACGTGAAGATGTCGTATGCGTCATTGTTAGAGAGCCGTAAATCAGGGTGTAAAGTATCCGTTTGACTCTAAATGGACCATCGTTTATTAAATGAACACGTCAGGCTGTGTACAAGCCTTTAAACTAGAGATTGAGACCATAAACTGTTTACACTGTTTTCAGTGTTTCAGTGTACTGAGGGAATACATCATTCTCTCATAATAAGGACTCTTCACAAAACACATTTTTGACAACAACTCCACAATTGATGTTATAATCCTGAAAATGTCACAGCGAAGTAAAAAGATTCGGGTTTCCTCTTAATCTTCCGCTTGTCTCCGTGCAGCTGAAAAGAGGAGCAAGGATCAGGCTCAGCAGCTGTACGTCTGCCCGCTCTACAAGACCAGCGAGAGGAAGGGCTCCCTCTCCACCACGGGCCACTCCACTAACTTCGTCATCTCCATGGAGCTGCCCACCACCCGCCGCCCTCAGCACTGGATAAAGCGCGGCGTGGCCATGCTCTGCCAGCTGGACGACTGAACTCGCCCTGCAAGCTGTACTCAAGACTCAAGCGCCTTACCTTCATCGCTGCGATGCCTCTTTTTTGTTCTCTGTCCTTTTTAAATTAAAAAAAAGAATTAAACATGACAACTGCGTGTGTCCCAGAGTTTGTGCGCCAGAGCTATGCAGCGTGTTTGCGGGTCTCTCCGGAGAGACGTCATCAGCTTCTCAGCTCAATCCCAACAAAATACAAAAGTAGTCTGGTTTCTGAGATCATTGTGGCAAGAAAAAACACATTATAGACATTATAAATTGAGCTAACAACGCATGCCTCAGCACCACGTGACATTTCCATAGAAATAGTGCAACGCACAGGCTTTACCAACATGGTGACATTATGTCCTGTAGCTGTGAGCTTCTAATGTAATATTAATGTGAAGGCTACCATCTGCTGCACCGTCTTCGTCTCACAGGCTCCGCTGCAGCTCACTAATTATTACACCAACGACATTTCTCATGAATGAATGAATAATAAACACCATATGGAAAATTAACACTTAACCTCATGCATGTGTAAATACGCGTGTTGGTTGTGAACGTGCATGCGAGGCGCTGCTGGGTCAAAGCGGCATGTAGGTGCTGCCTGTGACCCGATATTTATAGTGCGAGAGGTATAAATAGCTGCAGCCGGGCCGGCTGTACTGTTGTAAAAGCCAGCGGAGACACACGGCCGTTTCCCTGAAGGTAAACACCACTGAAAGGTAATTCCTCTGGACAAGAAGCGTCTTCTGCATAGACAACCTGTGGGACTCGGATTTGTCTCTGTTGCTTTTTCAGAGTTGAATTTGCTGGTCGTTAATGGTACTTGTTGTTCTGTGAAAATGTCTTCGGTAGGAATCTCAGCAGGCTTGTTTTGGCTGCGGTGTTCAGTCCCTGTCTGAGGCACGTGGTCCGTAAAGGTGAGAGCTACACGACGAAACGGGGACTGGCCGTCACATTTGTTGGAATCTAAATCCAGAATGTTGTTTTCAGCGGCTCTCGGGTGTTTTTAACGTCGACCCTCTCCGGACCGACAGATGAACACAGAGACAGAAGATGAGTTTCACCCGTCCGAGGACGACCTGGACGAGGACGAGGCGACGCAGTACATCATTGAACAGAGTCTGATTGAGTACAGAAAGCTCAAAGGGTTGAATCCGAGGTTCATCTCCGTCCGCCGAGCGCGTCCTCCCTCGTTGCCTCCCTTCTCCTGTTGACCCCTTGACTTTCTCTCCGTAGTGATCTGACGCCCAGTGACGACCCGGACGAGATCTTCAAGTCAATCAAGGAGGGTAAGACGTCGCCGACTGCGGTCCGATGGTCCCAGAAGAGGGGAATATAATAACGCGTGCTGTCCTGGTGTTTTAGGGGACAAAGACGCGCTGAACCGACTGGCGGCGCAAACGGAGACTCTGTCCAGAGTGGACGAGCGAGGATGGATCCCGCTGCACGAGGCCTCGGCCAACGACGACCGAAGGGTCCTGGAGATCGTCTTCTCAGGTAGAGACGGTCGTGACTGCGATCTGGGGGGGTGGCTCTTTTTGACGCGGGTCCAGAGGCAACGTTGACGCGGTCGTCGTGCGTTCCAGCGTCACCCCCGGGCGCAGCCCAGTGTCGCACCCTGAAGGGGGAGACGCCGCTGTTTCTGGCCGTGGTCCGCGGACTCCGAGAGAACGCCACCTTCCTGCTGCAGAACGCCTGCAGCCCGGATCTCCAGAACGACGAGCGGGATTCTCCGCTGGTGGCAGGTCTGAGAGCAAAACGCACCCCTTTTTCTTCTTTATTTAAACGGGCACCCAGAGATCTTTGCTCATTTTCATTTCCTTCTCAGCCATTCTGAACGACCAGTACGACCTGGCGACGCTGCTGCTGCGCTACGGTGCCCGAGTGGACCAAACGGGGCCGCTGAACCGGACCGCTCTGCACGAGTCGGCCTTTTTGGGCCTGGAGAACTTTGTCTATCTGCTCCTGGAATCTGGTGCCGACCCGAACGCGTGTGACATCACAGAGAAAACTCCACTGGCTCTGGCTGCGCGGAACGGGCATCTGAACGTGGTGGAGTTCCTCTTACAAAAAGGTGTGTGAGATGAGCGGATTTGATTTGACAATTAAAAAAAAAAATTGTGAGAAATATTTGTCTCTCACAAAAGGATAAATCTAAACAAATATATGCTGCTTTTATTTTGTGATCATTATTGTTTTTTATTGTTAAAATAATTGTTCAAAAAATGTATTTTCTTTTCTTAAAATAATACAAAAAATGAATATCTTGATTGTTATTATTATTGCAACATCTATATAGATTATCTGGTTTATTTCTATTGTTCTTGACGTTATATCAAAACCTGAAAAGCACTATTTATTCAGTTATTATTCAGTTATTATTGACCTTCCATACAGTGAGTCCATACGTACTGATTTCACAGGAGCCCGTGTGGGCAGCGACTCAGAGTCCGGCGGGATCTTGTTCGATGCCGCGGCATCAGGAAACCCCGACATCATCTCCTCGCTGCTGGACCACGGAGCCGATCCCAACCTGCCTCTGTGCGGCGGGCACCTGCCGCTGCACCGCGTGGCCTACCACGGGCACGTCCTGTGAGGAACCTGTGTGACATCACCGAGCCCTCCCGCTTTTCAAATAAGAGTCTGAAACCCCCCCCCCGGCTGTTTGTGTTCCCCTGACAGGGCACTGGAGCACCTCATCCCAGTCACCACGCTGGAGGCCGTGAAGGAGAGCGGCATGAGTCCCCTTCACTCTGCCGCCGCCGGGGGCCACGCCCACTGCCTGGAGGCGCTCCTCAAAGCCGGCTACGACCCCAACTTCATGCTGCACCCGAGGGTGCGCCGCGACTACCAGGATGAGCGCAGGTCCGCCCTCTTCTTCGCCGTGTCCAACAACGACCTGCAGTGCACCCGCTTGCTGCTGGAGGCCGGGGCGATGGTGAACCAGGATCCCATCACCTGTCTGCAGGCGGCCCTCAGGCAGGGCAACTACGAGCTCATCAACACGTTGCTGAAGTTCGGGGCCAACGTGAACTACTACTCCCGCATCAACACCACCCACTTCCCCTCGGCGCTGCAGTACGCGCTGAAAGACGAGGTCATGCTCAGGATGATCCTGAACCACGGGTACGACGTCAAGCGTTGCTTTGACTGTCCGTACGGCGACGGTTCCCACGACTACGCTCCGTGGACGACCTCGGTCATCAAAGACATGGTGGTGAGCCGAAGCACGTCCGGGAGAAACGAAAACAATGCAAAGGGATCGAGGACGTGGTTTTGTCTTTGACTGCTACGTGTCTTTGTCTCCATCTAGTTCTGTGAGGTGATAACGGTGTCGTGGCTGAAGCACTTATCTGCCCAGGTGGTGCTCATCATGCTGGACTACACCGACCATGTCTCCTTCTGCACCAAACTTAGGGACACCCTGGAGGAGCAGAGACAGTGGACGGAGATCTGTCAAGTTCAACGTGAGAACTCCATCCAGCTTTAGTTCATTTTGCCACCTGCTACGGGGAAACCGGCGTTTTGATGACTAGCTAGGTAGCTTCTCTCGCCGCTGCGGAATTAGCAAACTAGCTAGCTAGCCAGCCGGCTCTCCGCTAGGTAGCTTGTCCTTCGCCAGAGCGGTGAGGAGTGCAGCAATCGTACTAGCCATGGAATGCTAAATAGCTTGGTAGCTTGCTAATTGCACTCTACTTTAATGCTACACTGGTTGCAAAAAGATTAACCTGGACCAAGTTGTCACTTATCTGCCACTTATGTGCTTTTTAAGATTCAACTGTAACTACTAGACGTAACTGCATGAGCTCCTTTAGTTTCTTTGCATAGAATGAACAAAAATTGTAATACGCCATTTTTCTCTCAATAGACACAGAGTTCGCAACGCTGCAACATTCTCATCAGTGGGCCTCGGGCGCCGTCACCACAGTGTTACAACAGATGTTTGTTCCAATGAAACTCCTCCTGCCACTTTAACCGACCTCGTGTCCTCTCAGGAAACGCGCGGGGCCTGAAGCACCTGTGTCGGTTGCGGATAAGAGAGCATCTCAGTCACCTGCGCCTGAGAGCCCCGGTTTTCATCGGCTTCCTTCCTCTTCCTCAGAGGCTGAGAGATTACTTGCGCTACAAGGAGTTCGACGTCTACAGCAGGGGCAGCCTCGTTCCCCCGCACTGAAGACACATTTACTGTCGCCACGGATACCAACTGCGACATAGGCAGGAAGTGAGGTCGCCACGCATAAGGATTCAAGGACCATTTGCTGTCATTATGCGACACAGGGACGCACAGCAGAGTGCGGTTGTAGCTCGTTTGCAACACAAAAAACACGACAAATAATAGAGAAGTATGTTCCTGTAGTGCGTTTTTGAAATTTGTATCATAAGGAATTTAAACGACAGCAAAAAAAACAACTCTCTGGGGGATAATACAGCCAACATTTTTACATTAACGTTTCCCCCCCCCCCTGTTTTACATTGATATTGTGGGTGTTCATATAGTTTTCACGTACAGGTGACTTTATGCCATGCAGTTCTATTTATTGGCCAAAAGGTCGCATGTATGCTGTATTATAATTATCCTTCTAAAGTCTTATTGCAGTTAAGAGTTATTTCATAATGTGAATACAGGAAAATTGGCATGAGAGCATGTAATGATTATTCTTTGAAAACGTAATTAAAAACATTTAAAATGGCTTGATTCTTTATTTTTTCCTAAATATGCAAAAATGTATTCATATATATGTGTATGTGTGTGTATATATATGCATGTGTGTATATATGGGTATGTATGTATGTATGCACATATGTGTATATATATATATTTATTTATTAGGCATATGTATATATGTATGTATGTATGTATGTATGTATGTATGCACATATGTATATATATATATATATATATATATTTATTAGGCATATGTATATATATATATGTATGTATGTGTGCACATATGTGTATATATATATATATATATTTATTTATTAGGCATATGTATATATATATATATACACATATGTGCATACATACATACATACACATATATACACACATGCATATATATATATATATATATATATATATATACACACACACACACATATATATATATATGAATACATTTTTGCATATTTAGGAAAAAATAAAGAATCAAGCCATTTTAAATGTTTTTAATTTATTTATTAGGCATATGTATATATATATATATATATATATATATATTTATTAGGAACAGGTATATATGTATATATAAATATATTTATTTATTTATTAGGCATATGTATATATATTTATTTATTCTATATATTTATTATTTATTTATTTATATATATATATATATATATATATATATATATATATATATATATATATATATATATAATTTAAATATTTATTATAATATTTATTAGGCATGTGTAGGCATACACACCCGTCTGGCTGCATCACTCACCGGCCTCGCAGTATATCCATCCGCCGCTGGGCGGCGCGGATGTTCCTGAATGTAAACATAGTGACGGCCGCGTTTTGCAGTGGTGGAGAAGAACGTGTACGTCATTTCCACAATGGCGGAGGCAGGGTGAGGAGGAGAGGGCGCTTCTGTGCGTGCGTGTGTGTGTGTGTGTGTTTGAGTGAAGCGGTGCCGTAAATCGTTCAGAGAAGCTACATCGCCTCGTTACCCCCCCCCCCCCCCCCCCCCTCCCCACACCCCCTCAGACCCCCTCCCCCCCCCCGCGACCGGTGCCCACGTAAATGGCCTGAACCCCAACGCGGCGGGAGAAGGGACACGCAATGCGCCGCGCCGGGCGATCTCCAGCCGGAGGAGGGCGGCGAGCCCCCGAAGAACCCAGCCGCCACCTCGGCCGCGGCCCAACCAAAATGGCGATCAGCCTGGACGCGGGGACGCTGTAATGCCCGAGCAAGAAGCCCCCGATCGGCGGAGGAGCGCGCAGGCGGACGCCCGGAGCTCCGGCAGCTCTGCCCCGCCGGGCCACCGACCCGGCGAGGAGCAGCCGCGGAGGAGCTTTCAGATTCCGCGGAAGATAAAAGGTGGTGCCGCTGTGTTGAAACCCCAGCCTGTCTTTTTGTTTTCACGGTTCCGCTGCATGTTTGCTAGCCCCGGCTAACGGCGGGCTAACTGGCGCTAGCTCACTGGGAGCTGTTTTGTTGTGTGTGTGTGTGGATCACTGTCGAAACGTTTAGGTCCAAAACCAAACGGCCGGTTACTCAAACCGCCTCGGGGGACGGAGGGGCGAGCGGGACCGAGCGGGCACAGCTGAGGGGCTGTTGTGTGTGTCTCCCCCCCCCCTCAAATGTCCCAGAGACACACAGCTAACGGTCCTGTCTGTTTATATCGCAAAGCCTAGTTTGGCCTCTCCACCTTTTCACGGGAGTGTGGTGTCATGGAGTGTGTGTGTGCAGCCGTCACCTGACAACGTGTGTGTGTGTGTGTGTGTGTGTGTGTGTGAGGGGTCTCACTGACCTCAGTGAAGGGCGTAAAACGATCCACCTCCACCTGTGTCATAGGAATGTTTTCACATCCCAGACCTTTGTGTTGTTGTTGTTGACATGTCGTGCTGTCCTCCCCCTTTGTCCCTGTGTCACCTTCCTTACTCATCACTCATACAGAGTAATGCCCCTCCCTCCCCCCCCCACCCCCCCTCCACTACAGTTATTTGTTTATATGCAAAGTCAAGCTAAAGTTGCTGGATGCCACATTTTTAACGGCCCTCCGAGCGGCTCAGCAGGTTGCCTGCAATGTCTTAGTGCTTGTCTGTGTGTGTGTGTGTGCGCCAGCTTGTGCTTCCCGTGAGAGATGTTTGTTTGTTTACTACCTGCTTGTTTGGATGCGTGCGGATTGACCCAGTGATCACAGACGGGTCCTAGTCGCCGACGCACATCGCTTCCCCCCTGATTTCTAAATATGAGCACATGAAGTCCTCACACTTCAGATGGGAGGAGAGTCTGATTTATGATGGATGTCTCTGACCTCCTCCCCCCCCACCCCCCTCCCTTGTGCCCAGGCTTGTACCAGTTCCTGCCCCCTGACAGCCGGGAGTTCGAGGAGCTGGTGAAGGTGGTCTCGTCGTTCTACCTGGACGCGTCGTCGCGGGGGACCTTCTCCTACTGCAAGGCCCGGCTCATCCACAACGAGCTGCTGGAGAAGGAGGTGAGGCACCTTTCGGTCCGGCGTCAGCCGTCCCCGTGTGCGCGCTGCTGATGGCCTAAAGGAACGTGACAAAAGGCCTCAGCGGCGGGAGAAGAATACTTTTTTTGTGAGTTTCTTGCTTTAATCGGCTCGTCCGTTTCCCTTCTTCTTTCCCTCCAGTTCATCGAGAAGCGGCGAGAGATGAAGCAGGAGGGGCGGACGGAGGCGGAGCTGACCGAGTCGTACTGCTTCCTGTATCCCGACAAGTCCAAGGTACCCGCCCGGGAACGTCTGTGTCACGGAGGGATGAGGAGGGATGAGGATTCTGAGCTTTGTGCGTCGTGTTGTGTGCAGCTGCAGTGGGTCTGTGAGAAGGGTCTGTCGGTGGGACACTCCAGGATCACCACCCTGGGAAATCCCTCAGCGGGTGAGTGTGCCCCGCCTTCTCATCCAAGCGACCCCCCCGCTCGTCCAAAGTGGCATCCAAAGTCGCTCCCTCCCCCCCCTCGCCCCCATTTGTTCTTGACATAGTTGTCAAAAAGCGGGACACTTCATTGGCTGAGGCGGTTGGTAGCGTCCTGTCAATCTGTCCCCTGTGATTTTTTTCCATGCAGGTGTTTAGTTCTCCATATATTCCGACCTGTTACAAATCAATCCTTTCGAGGTGGGTTCGTCGGGAGACATGATCGTTTTTAAAGTCAGGAGGGTACGGCCGCCGTCCTCGCTGCACATTGTGACGTGGGGGGGGGGGGGGTTAAGCCCCGGCTCACCCGTGTGCTTCTGGTCCCTCAGGGTCGAATAAAGCACATCCACGAGAACATGCCCAAGAACGCCATGGAGCCGACTCCCAAGTTCGACTGTCACATGTCCAAAAGTGCCAACAGGGTGACGTCGCTGCTGTCCTACCGGGCCTTCGAGCTCACGCAGGTACGACCCGTCTCCCCCCCGAGGTCTTTCCATCGGGGGCGGTCCGAGCCGTGACGCGTCCCTCTCTGTTCTGTTCTGGTTTCCTCAGCAATACTTTTCGGAGTTTGCGTTCGACGAGATCAAGGCGCCGTCCCCGGCACGTGTGCCCCTACGCCGTGGTCTCCTTCAAGTACAAAGGGAAGGAGGCGGCCGCCACGCCGATGACGTCACACAGGTACCTTTTATCAAGTCTTTTGGGGGGGACGGGGGGGGACGGGTTAATCTTCTGTGTTTTTCCTAACAAGCCCTTTTCTCTCTATCTCTGCTTTACAGGTTCAACACAATTTCCTCTGAAGGAGGTCGAGGTAAAACCTTTTTTTGAAGGCTAAACATTTAATTGAACAAGTCCTCGCGCTTCACGCCTGAAATGATCCGACTCGGATTCACCGAAATGCTTTTTGTGTCCGTGGTGTGCGACCCCGTGCCGCCGCTGCAGGGAGGAGCTGCTACACCGCGTGGAGCGGCCCGCTGGTCAACAAGGGCCACGAGTTATTCCCCATATGTTTACGATCGTCCTCGGCCCTTACCTCCCCTTCAGGCTGTGAGTAGACCCCCCCCCCCATTACCCCTCCTCACCCCTCCACCCCCCCCCATCACCTCTCATGTCCCAGAGAGGGAAGCTAGAATCCACTTGAGTAACACGCGTTCAACATACACGTGTATATTTAGATCTACATCTAGACATGTGTTCTTTCCGTAATGTGTTCTGATGGTTCTCGCTGGTACCCCCCCCCCCCCCCTCCCTCCTGAAGGCCGGAGAAGCTGGAGATGAGTAGAGGCATTGCAGCTGGATCAGGTGAAGCGAAAGATTCCCGCCGTGCTCTTTTCCTGGGACACTTACGGCGCATCACGGGAAGGTCGGTCCGGCGCCTGCGCCCCTCGCGAAATGACGCAAACACAAAAGGGGGAGCTTTTCGTTTCGGTTTCACCGCCGCTCTCCTGTCCGCAGTGATGAAGTGCGGGATGTCCTGCAGCCTGTTCGAGGTGCTGGAGGGGAAGGGCAAGCCCACCAGCGGGCAGCTTGGCGGCGCTGGCCCACAAGCTGGAGCGGGACCGCATGGTGAGTCGAACCTCGGTGGCGTTCAATGGAGAAACATTATGAAACCCGTCACCCTGAGCCTTCGGCCCTGTGCCTCCAGCAGCCCCCCCCACGGTCACCCTGGCTCGGCGGTGCCTCAGCAGCCCCCCCCCCCCACGTCACCCTGAGCCTCGGCCCGGTGCCTCAGCAGCCCCCCCCCCCCCCCAACGTCACCCTGAGCCTCGGCCCGGGTGCCTCAGCAGCCCCCCCCCCCCCCCCCCACGTCACCCTGAGCCTCGGCCCGGTGCCTCAGCAGCCCCCCTCACCCTGTCCCTCTGCTCTCCTCCTCAGGTGCTGTGAAGTCCCTGTTTGACGGGGCTTCCTCTTCCTGCTTGTCCTCGGCGCAGATGGAGTCCAAAGGTCCGTCTCCTCTTTAAGAGCCCTCCGCTGTGCCGTTAGAACCCCGCTTGTGTTCTTCGGGACGGGGACGGGGGGACGGGGGGTCACGGTAACGGCAAAACAAATAACGAAACGGTCTGTGTTTTGCAGAGCGGCGGGGGCG